CTCCACCTAGGAAACAACAACAGCCTCTGGAGACTGCCAGAAACAGGTGATAATAGCAAGTTTACTCCATTAGCTTAGCTGAGATCCTCCTTATTGTGGGTACTAGGAGGCCTAAGCTTGGAGAAAGAAGTAAATTGCTGAGCCTGAGAATTTGCTAGGCAAGGAGAACTGAATCAAGGCAGTACTGAAGTGTCAGAAAAACAGGAAATCAAAGCAAAAATGTCAGATATCACTAACTGCTGGCCCCCAGGACAACCTGATTTATAGATTGTTTGGTCCACCACCATTAGCAAAAATCTTTTAACTAACTGCGAAGATTTTGAAACCTGGAGACTCCTCATTAAGAACCCAGACTCAGGTTTTCTTGTCCCCATTCTCATGTGGCAATAGTTTGCTAGAAATGGATAGTGGCCATCCCCTTAAAATGGACAACAACTCCCTGCACCACAGTCCCTGTCCAGTCAACTTTTGAAGGAAAACAAGGCATACATCAGGAAATGCAAATTTTACTACTTTTAGGAGTAGTTACACAGTTGTGTACAGTACTACCTGCCAGGACATGTTACTACAAGTCAAGCAAATCAACTCTAATTGTAAACCAAAATACCTCTAAAAGATAAGTTCCTACACTGTTTACAATGGTTTAGTGTCCTTACTGCCATGATAAACATCTCGGCTCAGACTCTCATCCATGAAACTCAAATTGTAAGAGGTGACTAATGGCCAGTGGGAAAGACCAACTGTGTTCCAGTCATTCTGAATGTCCATGAACCAGTGGTAGCTCCAAGAGGTTTAGAAAGGATGGCTCACCAAGACATGGACTTTCTTTCTCTGGTTAGCTGGCCACTTGCCCTCCCAAGTCCCCCATTTTTCTCCCAAAAGACCAATCCAGGCTCAACCTAACCCATGTTCCCCACTCAAGATGAGCCTGTCTGCTGCATGTAGGCCTTTAAGCTGCAGTCCATCTTCCAAGCTGGGGACTCTGCCCGCCCAGCAAGTTCTAACTCCACTCACCCTCTCATCCAGATCACTTTCCGCATCACACTGGGGAGAAGGAAAAGAGAATGGTGTCAGGATAGGGAAGAGAAATGAGGCCCAAGGGGTGGGGGGAGGAGCCAGGACAGGTAGATAGCACTTACTATGTATCCAGCTTCCAGAGAGTGACGGGAGAAGGCCTGAGAAAGACCAGAGTCCAGAGGTAAGGGAGGCTGACTGGCCAGGCAACTGGATAAAGTCTCAACTCCCGGCAAGGCATTCAAGGTCTCTCATGATCTATTTTCAACCTCTTTTTGTAGCTGCTTCTCTGGCTAGTGCCCATCCCCATTCTCCTGTCATTTTCTAAATACACCAGGTTCTTACATTTATGCATGTTGACCCCAAACAACTTTTCTCCATTTCTCCTCTTAGCAAACTTCTGACTACTTCAGGGCCTAAGTCATCCTAGGGGGCTTTCCCTAACCACAACCCTCCTCCCATCCCCCAGACAGAAAGAGTGGTTTCCTCATGTGGGTTTCTGCAGCATCTCTTCCATACCTCTTCCAGATCTGGCCTTGTATAGCTTTTCTCAAGCTTAATTCTAGGTATCTAATTGCCGACACTTTTCTTTCCTACCACCACCTCAAGGGTCCACATGTAATTTATGATTCAAATAAGTTCCTTTGATATGTCTCTTAAAATCATCAATGCATCTGAAACCAATGTAGAACCAACCAAAAGCAGGTGAGTCTGACTGCAGACAAATCTTGGGTCAGACCTGGATAGGGGGAAGCTGGGGGTTCAAATCTGCTGTACCCTTTCCTCTTTGCCCTTAGACTCTGAGGTTAGTGTTAGTGTTTAGGATGCACTGCTGACAGAAAACCAATCAATGTTAGACACTCTACCCAAAGAGTGTTAAAGGATGGGGATTTGGGACACCTCACCTCTTTCCTTCTCCGCTTATTGGGCCATTTGCGGGCCCGATCCCCAGGGGGCCGGCCAGGCTCCCGATCAGAGCTGTCCCCTGGCTCTCCAGTGGCCCCACTGGAGCCCCCCCTCTTCCGTTTCCCAGAATGCTTCAGCCGATGTTCCAGTCGCTCTGGGGGCTGAAGAGATGCATCCTTCTGTGGAGGAGGAGGTGGGACTGAAGTGGATGGAAAAAGAAAACCTCCCCACTTCTCTAGGGGTGACCAGGCCGCCAAAGTGCCTCTCAGGCCCAGTAACCTGGTTGGTCCCTGGAGACTAGCTCTACCTCCTCCCACCCAGGGTGGGGCAGAGCCTGGCCAGAGGAGCCGGTTGCTCTGGTTTGGGGTGCCAGCATTCCCCCCTCAACCCCACCCACTCTAGGCACTGTACCCTTCTCTCTGCCCTCTGAAACCCCCAAAGGTCCCCAACCCCAAAAGGCCCCACCTGCAAGGCCTCGAGGCTGGCGAAGCTAGCGATGGCGAAGCCATCGATCAAGTCCTCCTCCTCTTCTTCTTCCTCCTCAGGCTCCTCCTCAGCTTCCCCGTCGTCTGCGCCCCCCTCCTCCTCCTCCTCTTCCTCCTCCCCGCGGCTTCCCGAGCCGGCGGGCCGCTTCCGAGCTCGGGGTCGCGGGGGCCGAGGCCTAGGACGGGGCCGCCGCCGTCTCGGGCCTCCGGGCCGTTCTCCAGACGAAGCTGACGACCAGGGCCTGGTGGGCGGCGGCGGTGACGACGAGGACGAAGAACCGCGCGGGGCGGCTAACAAGGCCCGGGGCGCGTCGCCGCCTGGACCTCGGCGGCGCCGCTGCTCTCGGTCTCGGTCTCGGCGCGAGCAGCGCCTCCGTCGCCGCTCCCCCTCAGCTGCCCAGCCCGGGCCCGGGGCCGCGGCCGTCTCCATGGTGACGGCCCTCAGCGCCGCATCCGGAGGCGGCGGGGCCTGAAGCGGCCTGTCGGCAGGCCCGGGGTCGCAGGCGCGGCGCTGGCGGCTGCACAGGGACGAGAGGGCCACGGCTTCCCCTTTAAAGCAGGATCTGCTGGCCCCGAGCTTGCCCCAAGGCCAAGGCCCCGAGAGCCGGCGCCGCCCCCGGGGCGACAAGCCCGAGGGCCCCCCCTGTGGGGCCGACTGGGCCGAGAAGGCGAAACGAGTGGCCGTCCCTTTAAGGTGAGGCCTTAAGTTGTCCAGCCCCTGGCCCCTTTAAGACGACCCAACACTGTCCGGCTGGCCTACTGCGGTGGCCGCCCCCTGCCAGGGGTCGAGGCAAGTCTCCCCGAGGAAGAGGAAGGGCCGCCCCTTTAAAAGGGGCCGAAAGCTCGACCCGAAACGCAGACCTCCCCTTTAAAAGTGTCTTAAGTCCTCCGGCTAAAAGAGGCCACCCCTTTAAGGAGTCCAGGGTCCTTCACACAGCCGGCCCTCCCTTTAAGGGATCAGGAGTTTGTTTCTAGTCCTCCACAAACGGCCACTTCCCCTTTAAGCTGAATTTAAAGGACTTCTTGCGTAGGAGGAGGTAAAGGTGGGAAATCCCACTCGCCCCAATTCTTCCAACAGCACAATTCTCAATTTGTCAGCTTCTGTTCGACGTTTCCCCTTTAAGGCTGGCGTTGGAGTCTGCCGAGTTCGGTGGCCACCCCTTTAAGGAGATTTAAAGGGGCCTCCTCCAGGCCCAGCTCCTCCAGCCTCCGCCTCCGGTCGCCATGAAAGGTGCGAGGGGGGGGCGGGGCCGCGGGGCCAGCCCTCCAAAGTCCCGGATGTGAGGCACCGGTGACGGGTAGAGCTTCTCTGTCCGCCGACATAAAAGTCTTTTCCTCCTTTCCTCCGTCTCTGTCTGATTTGTGCCTTAGGAAATCCGGAACGGCCGTTGGGGAGCCAGGGAACTCCAGCGCACTCTCCCGTTGTCTCCTTTGGAGTCTTGGGCCTCTTCTCCGCCAGGACTTCCCTACCCCTCCTCCCTCTTCCTCCTCAGCCTACGCCTCCTTCCTCTCTCTGCCTCCTCCCACTCCCCGCCCCCTTCCCCTCACCCCCCACGGGCTCAGTAGTTGATAGGTTGGCAAGAATACGTCAAAGCGAAGGGCGGAGTTAAATTCCGGGGATAGGTAATATGTAACCGCCCTCAAATCTTGGATTGGGTTACGTCAGATTAGCTCCGCCCTTCCTCGAGTCTTGTGACTCGACTGGTTAGAAGTAGGTGTTTGGGGCGGTCCCACAGGTGGCCCCGCCTCTTCCTGCTCTTCGTTTATTGGACGCTTTCTGACGGCGTCAAGGATAGGAGTTGAGATGCGGTGCCCGAGTTTAGAGGGCAGTTGGCCGCTGGGCGGCGCGCGGCTGAGGAAGGTGCGGTTCGACAACCAGTTACGTCGTGTCTGCTTTTCTGCCGCTTGGCGTTTAGCGCATGCGCATAGTGATGCCACCCCTGTCAGGTCTCTAGGGGGATCGCTCAAGCGGCATGGGGTGGTCCCAGTATGCCGCTTGCTTTGCGAGTGTTAGATTTGCGGGATCGAGATTCTGTCCAGTTACCGTTTGGCTCAAGAATGCTGGTCTGTGCTCTCTGAGCGCTAACAAAATACACTTTGCACTTGTGTGCCGTGCACTTTCTCATATGTTAACTCATTTGGTAATTATTCGCCCCATTTTACAGAAGGTGAGGAGAACTGAAGTACAGACAGCTGGGAACCCCTGTTTCAGAATCTGTCCTCTGGCCACTGCTCCGTGCAGTCTCTAAATTATGAGTGCCACTCTGACCGTTTTCCTAGTCTTTTTTGGGGGGACCAGGTGTGGTGGTATACCCCTGTAATCCCAGCTCCTGGAGAGACTGAGGCAGGAAGATTTCAAGTTCAAAGCCAGCCTCAGCAATTTACAGAGGCCCTAAGCAACTCAGCGAGACCCTGTCTCTAAATAAAATATAAAAAAGAGTTGGGGATGTGGCTCAATGGTTAAGCATCTCTGGGCTCAATTCCTGATGCCCCTTTCCCCCCAAAAAAGCCTAGTCCTTTGGGGGAGCCAACATAGAAATATCAGTCAGTACTGTCAATCAGTCTATCAGTCTCAAACTCAGAGACACAAAAGAATCAGAAACATATCGAAAACTTTACTAGAAATATAGAGAAAAAAATATAAGTGCCTTAGAGGTTCCCATCCCTCCAAATGGATGGACAAACAAGAGTTTCTAGGGTTGATGGGGCTGCTCCCCATCTATTTCTCCTCCTCCAGGAACAAGGCATCTAGCTCCTCCAGCCGCTGCTGCAGCAGGGTTCCCACATCTGGGCTGGGTACCAGGTTGGGAGTAAGGGTCCTGCTAGCTGCTGCCCGGACCCCACGGGATGGCCGACGGGATCGGGGAAGACTGCTGTCCCGAAATTCTACAGCCCGCCGGAGCTTCCTTGAGCTGGTGAGAATCAGAGTCCCATTGCGCTCCCGGGGTTCCTCAAAGATGGTCTCAAAGGTCCTGGACCAGATAGGGAGAGGATCTATTTACCAACAGGCCATTGGTTCTGGCCTTCTCCACCACCCTCAAGCTTTCAAAGTTCCTCACCTCCTGGTTGTGGGTGATTGATAATTCTTGTTGGTATAAATTTCTTCCAAGCTGAACTCCTTCTTGTTTAACCTGGGAGCAAAGAGCAGAGGCCACTGAGAAACCTTGGGCCAGTGGGGCCTGAAGAAGGGCTAGGTAAGACCTGGTCTGTATTTCAGTTTCTGGATCATGCCAGGGCCAGGAGTGCTGTGTGAGGCAGACAGGAAGTTCTAAGCACAAACCATGTCCATGCCAAACTGTCTCCTCCAGGCGGGACTGTGCTCCCTGAGAGGAGACAAAGCCATACTTCAGGGGACATAAGCCTCCATCTGCTGGACCAAAGCAGCTCCCTGCCTAGTGAATCTCTCACCTGACTGGTCGAGGCAGCCCCATTGGTGTAAGGTTTATTTGAGGACGGACTGGTGTCTTGCGTATTCTGAATCCAGAAACCTTTCCCATAGTCTGCAAAAATGGTGTAGGTAGTTAAAGAGTGGCTTCCATGAAGTACAGACAGCTGGGAATCCATTTGTCTCCTCCCTCTCAGCTGTAATCCTACCTTGGTCTCAGGGTCTGAAAGCACCTGGTCTTTTGAGGATCTTGGTTCCTTCCCCTTGGTTGAGCCCAATCTGCAGAGAAGGTCAAGGCTCAGGAACCAACAAGATTCACAGCAATATCCCCATCTCCTGCCCACTGAATACTTAAGGAAGCTGGACCCAGACTGTGGCCAGGGCTTCAAGGGTTTATTGAGTGCACTACCTGGGTTCTGCTGGTTCGGAGAAGGAGGAGGTGGATGCACTGGACGAGCAAGATGTGGTGAGAGAAGGGGAGGCAACCATTCCTCCAAGAGGGAAGACCTCTTTCCGGAGACAGGGCCGAGGAGGTGGTGGGGCTCGGGCCATCTCCCCACCACCCACAGTGTGCCGCCGGGGCCTGGACCAGCTTGTTTGGGGTGGAACAGGGGGCCAGGTGCAGGTACCTGGGCCAGGGGGCCCCAGATCAGGGCAGGAGTGGCTTCGGCCCAGAGAAAGCTTAGGGAGAGGTGCTGGGGTATTATGGTCCTGAGCCCGCCACTGGCGGATGGGGGGCCGGGGACTAACAGATGTAATGCCCTCAGCCCGGGACTGCTCAGCCTCTGAGATGGCAATCTTCAACTCCAGCTTCATGGGAGATGATGGGGGTGGGGCCCGCGGGGTCTTGTTGGGCGTGAGGAAGATGTCAGCGAAACTCTCCAGCTTGGAGCGGACGGAACGGAAGAGGGGGGCCAAGCCCCAGGGACTGAGGCGGGGGCGTAAAAGACTGGATGGTGGTGGGGTCGATGGGGGCTCCAGAGCAGGATCTGGGGCTAAGGAAAGGAGAGGGTCACAGGTAGGCATTCCTTAGCTGTGGGTGTCTAAGCCCCAACTTAGTAGCCTTGGCCTTTGTCTCAAACAATAATCTTTATCCACAGAGGAATAAACCCACTCCTAAAAATTAAGTCCTACAATTGGGAGTTAAATCTCAAAGCCTCTAAATTCCATTTTCATGCACTATGTTCCACTCTGGGAGGACCCCACCCCCCACCTCTGCACCTGATACTTCCAGAAATCTTAGTTCCAAGTCTCAACCCTCATCGTTACCTGGTGGTGGGCTCTCTGGTGGGTCTGCAGTAAGGGTGGACGGCTGGAATGGAGGTTCTAGGTCCTCAGATGCAGGCATTAGCTGGTGAATCTTTGCCATGGGCTCAACTCTGAGGTTAAGGGGCAAGGTAAAGGTTTCGGGTGAAGGCTTCCAGGTCTAAATCTCACCTAAGCCACCACCTCCCCTGTCCTTTGTTTTTTTGTGGGTTTTTTTTTTGGGGGGGGGGGATACTGGGAATTAAACCTGGGACACTCTGTTACTGAACTATATATCCCCAATCCTTTTATTTATTTTATTTTTTGGTACCAGGGATTAAACTCAGGGGTGCTTAACCACTGGGACACATCCCCAGCCATTTTTATTTTTTATTTTGAGACAAGGTCTCACTAAGTTGCTTAAGGCCTTGCTAAATTGCTGAGGCTGGCTTTGAACTTGCAATTCTCCTGCCTCAGTCTCTAGGAAAAGCTTGTGCATGGCACCCCTGTCCCTTAAAGGTGCTATAAGGAAGACTGAAAAATAAATCCTGATGTCCCTAGCTCTGGCTACCGGGATGATCCCTTCCCCAGCCCCTCTCACCTTTGTGATGGGATGGCGAAGGTGGGGTTCTCATCCACGAAGTCCTGGATATAAACAAGGGATATATGTGGAGAAGCAGGGAAGCTGCCTTTGGCTTCCTTAGTTCCCTATGCCCTGGCTCTTTCAGTCCCCAGCTACCTGCTTGGGTTCACACTTAAGACTTTCATATAATTTTTGCTCAGGTATTGTATGCTACCTAAAATGCTGTGATTCTTGCCCTGAGAGAAATTTACCCCAGAGTCAGTCATCTTATTTCTCTTTTATAACCCTGCTGGAATGCCCCAGCTAAACCCCTATCATCCTTCCCCAAGTTCTATACCTCAGCTGGGAGTCTGGGACCAGCAATGTCTTCTAGCATCACCACCAGGGTAGGTTGGGGGCCCTGGCCCACCTTTGGTGAAGGGCTCTCCTCTGGGATGGGGGTTGTCCTTGATCGTTGCCTCAGGGTAGAAGAGGGCCGATGGATTCGACTCAAGGGTTCTCGGCACAAATGCAGGGGGTCAGGAGGCCTGGAAAGGGAACAAAAAACTCAGTGGGCTCAGCTGTGTCCCCAGCTGATTCCCCATCCTGCCATGCTCACCTGGCCTGTGAAGGCCACTTGATCTTTTGGGGTTGTGAGGCACGTGACTGGCTGCAGACAGAATCTTGAAGATTGCTGTGTTGCTGTGGAATACAGTTCTTCTCTTGAGGGACCAGGGGGACCTAGAAGAGAGAGAGGTGTCAAGAGCAAGAGAGGTTGAACTGAACAGTGTCTCCCTTAGCCTAACAGTTCCCTTAGCCTCAAGGTGACAAAGATCATGGCTAGAATTCACTCAAATCCCCAAAGAAGAGGGGAGCTGGTCTGAATTAAGGGCCCAGAATTAGAGATCTTGAACTGCAGGTGTGGAATGTGGGTAATCTCAACAGGCTGTTTGGAGAAATGAAAGAGAGTGATCTAGGGTGAGTCAATACCTTATTTTGGGTATCAGTTTTTCTCATTTGTGCAATGGAGCCAAGGACCCCAGAAGCTTCCCCAAGGAAAAAAAGCAGAAGGGTTTCTCATATTTGAAAGTTGTAGGAATGTGGTTCCAGCCACAGGGGTTGGAAGGTGAGGAAACTGTGAGCACTGGAAACCCTGCTCACTTCTAGGTTGAAGGGAGAACTATGCAGAACTGTAGCATTAGGGAGGGTGCTGGGGCCATAGACGTGAAAATGAGGTGTTTGTATATTTTTAAGGACTGTAGTCTGACTTTGGTATTGAGGAGTGATTTGAGGGGAAAAGAGGGCCTTTCAGTTCAGGGGGCTCACCATGTGGGCAGCCATAACATCTTCCAACACCACGGCAAGGACCCTCCGAGAGGCCTTTTCCAGGGGCGAAGGGGCTCCCACGGGCTGCAGCCTTGGCCGTTTTGGGCTCCTGGCTTCCCATAATGATCGAGCTAGGGGCTGACGGCACAGCCGGCTAGATGAGCTGGAGGGTAAAAGAAGCAGAGGACGGTCGCCTGAAACTGTCGTTGGCTCTGTAGTTTCCCGGTACAGCCGCCAGGACCCCCGTCACCCGGGCTCAAGACAGGCGGGCGGGGTGCGCTCTCACCTGGAGTCCCCAGGCAAGTCCATGGGGGAAGCGGCGGCTCCGGGGGGTCCCTGGGGGATGCCAGGCTGCGGCCTGGGGTAAGGGGGGGAGCAGGGGAGCGGGGAGTGAGGGCCAGCCCCTCCCTCGGGCCTCCGCCCTTCATGGTCCTCCCGCAGCTCCCGGTAACCCAGACTGGAGCCCTGGGGCGCTGAAGGGCGCCCCCGGCTGGCAGGCCGGGGCGGGTGTACTCCCGCTGCCGCCTCCTTGATCAGCGGTTCACTCTTGCCCTGCCTGGCACCTGCCGCGAGATTCTGGGTCACAGAGGCCCCAGGTCTCCCAGGGTCCTAGTCTCCCAGAGCCTTTGTCCCTGAAGATTCTGCCCTGAGATTCCCCGGGATCCACTGGGATCCCGGTCCTGGGAGGCTTCGTTTCCGCTGCATGCCTCAGTGATCCTCCTCCCTTCTCGGCGAGCAGCCGAGGATTCCAAAGCAATACTCCACACACTGACGGTCCTCCCTCCCACCAGATCCCCAAGACCGGATTTCTACGGAAAGAATCCTACAGCGCGGTTCTTCCAATCAGACGCCGCACGGCGCTTCTCCTCCCCCTGTGAGCTTTAGCTCTGCAAAGCTCCACTCCGGCGGGGGCAGCCCGAGCTTTGGCATCACAGAACTCAGTCTGGATCCCGGGGGATCTACTGTCAAGCAGATACCCTCTTCGCTCCAACCCTGGAGGTTCCGCCCACAGACACCATCCCACCCACACCTCCTACCCTGCCCTTATCCCCTCCCAGCGTTCTACCCAGCCCGGGACCAGATGGTTCAAACGCTCCCTATCCCGCCCCCCCTCCTGCCCGCTCTGCAGCCGCTCCTTGCCCTCCCCCGCGCGCCGCTCACCGCCGCCTCCCGCGGATCCCCGGTCTTCGATAGCTCCCACCTCCGACTCCTTTAAAACCAGCCTTACCCAACGCTGCCCAACCGCCAGGGGCCTTCTTCTCGGAGTCTCCCGGCACCGCCCAATCGCCGGTCCCCGTCTTCCGGGGTGGTAAGAAACTAAGTGAAGCCGCCTGGTGGCCATCATCCCTAGGGGCAAGAAGCCAAATTGGGCAGCACCGCCATTATAGTTGAGGGCAAATATCGTAGTCCGGGTTGAACCTTAGTGGACCCGACAGCGTCATCTTTTTGAAGGCGAGTTAGTAGCTAAATACTATGCCAGATTTCATGACATGCTGAGGCAACCATAGTGAAGCTAGGGTGCCTTCACGTTTTTTAAGGGCATCTTCCGGTTCTTTCGTTCTTAGGCCAATGAGCGTCGACCGACTGCTAACGATTTGTGAAATTCCCAACGTCCTAGAGAGGCCTCATCTGAGTCTGATTGCGACACAACCCGGGGTTCTTCCACCAGATTCTTACCGCACAGGATCTGAGTTTGGGAGCGAGTGGCGGGGGTCCTGAGTTCAAACACCAGAGGTCAAAGACCAGGGCAGGTGCAGCCTCGGACTTCTTTGTTGCACGGTGTCCTGGAGAAATTGGGCCTAGCCGAAGTTGGGAAGAGGTTGGGCATGTTGATCTTCATTTCGTCTGAGTTTTGTATGCTTCTTCCCGGAGGAGTGGAGGTGTCCGCTAACCGCAGAAAGGGTTCACCATTGAGGCTCCATTGCAGGACGCCATAAATCCACCTTAACTTGCTTGGTGGGACCGGTTCAGCTTCCCTCTTTGTTCGGGACTCCCAGGAGCCACTATCAGGAGGAGCCTGACTGATGCAGACCGTAAATACTTAGGGTTCAGCGATGGGATCTCGAGGCTTGGAGAAACTGCATCATGGGTTTTTAGCAGGAGCCAGACTGTTGGTGGTGAAAAAGTGAGCATATACCGTCTTCTCGCACTGTGAAGGCGCCCTCAGCACCTAATCAAAGTCCATGCCTCCGCTAGTTCTTCCCCAGAAGAACTATTCCCTGTTCCAAAGCAAACCTTGTTTTCTTAATAAAACAAGAGAGCCTGAAGCCTAGTGTCCTGGGTTTAAGATCAAGGTGCAGAGGCACCTCTCGGTCTAGAATAATTTTCTTTCGGGAGATTGAATGATGAAAGTATTAAAACAATGATATGGAAAGAACAGAATTGCAGCGTGGAACGCAAAGATTCTCCAACTCCGTCCCCAAGGACTCTCTTCAAGATAAAAGTGCTCTCAGGATTACAATGTCTCTTTGTGATTGGAGATCGGCTGGGTCTCTGGAAATCCTTTATGAGATTTCTGGTGTGAGTAGGCAACAGCTCTTCCAGCTAGAGGGATTTTCTCTCCTCCTGGATCCATTTGGCCGTGTGGTGCCTAAAGATATTCCCTGGAGGTATGGTGAGTGCCTAGGCCTAGAGTGTCCTGAGTTTAAACACACAGGTCCTTTCTAGGCCCCCGAGCAGGAAAAGCCTTCAAGAGCAGAGCAAACAATCTGATTTTTGATTCTCTAAGTTGCCAGAAGTCTCAACAACACTAAGGGTAAAGGAAGTAGCCTAAGGAAAAGGCCTGGAGGCTGAAAATTTGGTAGATAGGGCCCAATCCTGAGATCCTAACTTAGGGCATAGAGTTCATCAAATTGAAATCTAAGGTAGACTGTCCCAGCCCTCAGCCTAGGCTAGCAAGGGTGAGCACTCATGGCTTCACAAAATTGAACTCTGCCCTTTTTGTGACTCCTATTTCAACTACTCCTACCTAACCCACCATCTGGGTACATATTACAGTATGTGACAAGTGTGTGCTGAATGGTTCACATAAACTCCAGTGGGGCTGCTGATGGGCTGTTAGTGCACTTTAGTTATCTTTCCTCAGAAACTGGTCCTCTGGATCTCCCATCTTCTTAACTGTGTTTGGCCTTATATATAGGATAGGAACAATAAACCCTATCATGCCTATCTCAAAGTAGACTTGGGAGATGAAGAGCAAGAGAGAAGACACAAAGAGAAAAAAAGTGAAGCTGGGTGTAATGGTACATGTCTATCATCCCAGTGGCTAGGGAGGCTGAGGCAGGAGGATTGCATGTTCAAGACCAGCCTCAGCAACTTAGTGAGACCCTGTCTCAAAAAAATAAAAAGGGCTGGGGATGTAACTCAGTGGTAAAGCAACCCTGGGTTCAATCCCTAGTACCTGCCCCCAAAAGAGGATGATAAAAGCTGCTGCTTCTTAGCCAAGTGCAGTGGTGCACAGCTATAATCCCAGCAATTTGGGAGGCCAAGTAAGGAGGATCACAAAGTTCAAGACCAATTTAGCAATTTAGTGAGACCCTGCCTTAAATTTAAAAATGCCTGGGAATGTAGCTATTAAGCTCTACCATTAGGTAGAGCACACCTGGGGTTCAATCCCCAGTACTGCAAACAACAAAAAGCTGCTTCTTTCTGCTCTGAGTGCCCTGCCCCTTTGGGTCCTCCAGCTAGCTGCTGGAGACCTTTCTGTTAAAACCCACTAGCCTGAGCTCCAAAACAGCCAGGGTAGAGTGGGTGGGGTTGTGGCTGCAGGGTATCAGAGATGGGTGAAATGGGTCAATTTTAGCCCTTTACCAGGAACCACACCTCAGAAATAATAGTAAGCCTTGGGTTTGGGTTGCTGCTCTGGTTTGCATTAATCCATTCAACAAAATTTCAAGACTTCCCAGGTACTATGTCCTCAGGGGAGACACGCCTGACCCCTGAAAGTTTGTATCCCTGCATTTATACCTCTGTATACGAGATTGCCATCGGTTCTGATGCTTCCAGCAACTTTAATCCTCTACTCTGAGGTACTTGATTTAGCCAGGTTTAAGCACATTCCTGCCCAATTTAAGTCCCCTGATGAACATTGAAGCTTCACTTCTGGAGGGTTTTCTACTCTAGTCAGCTACTTCAGATTGTTATTATTATTTTTAATCTGAAAAATTTGGTCCTGCCTATAGTCCTCCTCCTCTTTCCCAGTGGAGAGAGCCACCTGTGGCCAGTTCCGTCCTTGTCCATCCCCTCTTTTTTTCTAGCAGGGGGATGGTAGACAGGGCTCAAGTTTGGAAAGCTGATAGTAAAACTAATGAAAATGTGGGGAGGGAAGGAGATTGGGAGGGTGGAGAGACAACAAAGAAGAGTGAAGGGAGCTGCCTATTAATATCTGAAACAGTAGTACATTATGATGCCTGTTTTCAATTTATCCCCTCATCTCCAATTTTATTTGTTTATTTATTTAGGGCTGGTAATCAATCTCAGGGTCTCCCACATGCTAGGCAAGCACTCTACCACTGAGCTACACTCCCAGCCCTCAAATTCATTCTCCCCACCCCCCTTGCTCTGTGAGAATGGATCTGGTCCATTGAAATATTTTTTTCTCTACTAGCTGGCATTGTGTTAAGGGTTGTCCATATACTGCTAGAAAAACATTGCAGCAAGAAAGGGAGTTGCTTCCTGGTTCCAGTGAACCTACTGGCAGGCTCCTGGGTTCTATCCCCCAGCCCCTGCATGGTGGTCAACAGCATCCAATGGCCAGCAGCTCACCCTAGTACCTTCTTGGATGGCTTTGTAGTGACTCCACTACAAAGTACCTCTGGTGAGACACCTTCCCATGAATAGCCCTTCCTGGCACCCTAGAGGAAAGATTTCCAGCAGGTTCCACGAGAAGGACACTCTAACCATTTCTGTGACCTCTCCAGAAAGTTCTGGATCACCCCCAGGAAGGGTGGAGTATTTTTCCTGGATGCTCTCAGTGTGAGGGACAGCAGCTGCTTCTTATATCTGCTGTTCTTGCAGTTTTTTAAATTGCTTATTATCTGTAGTGAATAGAATTTTGCCCCCCCCAAAGATATGTTCAAGTCCTAACCCTCTCCCTCAGTTCCTATAAATGTGACTTTATTTGGAAATAAAGTCTTTGCAAATGTAGTTAAAATGAGATCATACTGGATTAGGATGGGCCCTAATCCAATGACTGGTGTGTCATTTATAAGAAAAGGAACTTGGGGGCTGGGGATGTGGCTCAAGCGGTAGCGCGCTTGCCTGGCATGCATGCGGCCCGGGTTCGATCCTCAGCACCACATACAAACAAAGATGTTGTGCCTGCCGAAAACTTAAAAATAAATAAATAAATAAATATTAAAAAAAAAAAAAAGAAAAGGAACTTGGACACACACATAAAAAGGAGACTGTAATGTGAAGATACAAACATGCAGAGAAAATACCATATGACAGAGGCAGAGATTGAAGTGGCGCATCTGATACAAGCCAAGGAATGCCAAAGATTGCCAACAAGATTACCAGCAACCTAGAAGAGACAAAGGAAGACATTCTACCCAGGAAAATGATACAGAATTCAATCTTTCATTTCTTTAAATTACCTGTTATAGTTGATCATTTTTGTATTAACTTTTCCTCATTTAAATTGCCATATGGTTTCTCCTTCCTGATTGGACCAGACTTAACACATCAACAAATATACTAGCATCTTAGCATGAAATAAAGTAGAATATCTAAGCTAGGTAATGTGGTTGAATGCCCATAAATTCCAGCTACTTGGGAGGCTGAGGCAGGAAGGTCAAAAATTCGAGGCCAGCCTCAGCAATTTAGCAAGATCCTGTCTCAAAATAAAAATTTAAAAAGGGATGGATACTGGGGATTGAACTAGAGCAAATTATATTCTATGCTTATATAATTATGTCAAAATGAACCCAAAAGTTATACATAACTATAATGAACTAATAAATATGTGGCTCAGTGGTGGAACACCCCTGGGTTCAATCCCTAGGGCTAAAAAAAAAAAAAAAGTATGCATATAAATGTGTGTGTGTATGTGTGTGTGTTATACAGTTGAACTGTTAACAGAAGAAAGGAGCAATAAAAAGAAAAATTGCCAGGCTCAGTGGCGCACACCTGTAATCCCAGCGGCTTGGGAGAATGAGACAGGAGAATCGCAAGTTCAAAGCCAGCTTCAGCAACCACAAGGCAACTAAGCAACTCAGTGAGACTCTGTCTCTAAATAAAATACAAAATAGGGCTGGGGATGTGGCTCAGTAGTCCAGTGCCCCTGAGTTCAATCCCTGGTACCAAAAAATAAAAAATAAAAAATAATGCACACCAGTAATCCCATTGCTTCAGGAAGCTGATGCAGGAGGATCAAAGTTTTCGACCAGCCTCAGCAAGTTTGTGAGACTCTAAGCAATTGAGCAAGACCCTTTATCAAAAAAACAAACAAACAAAAAAAAAACGTGGAGGGTGGGGTTCGGTGCTAGGGATGTAGCTCAGTGGTAAAGTTCTCCTGAATTCAATCACTGGAACAACAACAAAAACAAAAAAAAAGATAAATGACAAAATAAAAATATAATCCTAAAGGACAAATAAAGAGAAGTTTTTTTATTTTATTTATATCTATCCAGGTATGGTGGTACATGCCTTTAATCCCAGCAACTCAGGAAGCTAAGGAAGGATTATGCAAGTCTGAGGCCAATCTGGGTAATTTAGTAAGTAAAACACAAACAAAAAAACATTCTCATAAATTCACAAAACAACTCCTAGGGGGTGACTCTGCCCATGTTGACATCCACTGGTTTAGGGCCACTGATTTAAAGCTCTAGTTTCAGCCAGGCCCAGGGCACATACCTGTAATCCCAGCAACTCAGGAAGCTGACACAGAGGATCACAAGTTTGAGGGTAGCCTCAGTAATTTAGCAAGGCCTTCAGCAACTTAGATCCTAAAATAAAATAGCTGGGCACAGTGGCACACACCTGTAATCCTAGCGGCTCTGGAGGCTGAGTGAGGCAGGAGAATCATGAGTTCAAAGCCAGCCTCAGCAAAAGTGAGGTACTAAACAATTCAGTGAGACCCTGTCTCTAAATAAGATACAAAATAAGAGCTGGGGATATGGCTCAGTAGTTGAGTGCCCCTGAGTTCAATCCCTGGTAACTGGAAAAAAAAGAGGGTGGGGTGGGGATATAGCTCAGTGGTAAAAAGCCCTCTGGGTTAAATCGTTATTATGGAAAAAAAAAATCAGCATCTGGGGAGGTATCATTGAGATTGGGAAATGAAAGGATTATTCAGGGTCCAGTGAAGGTCAATTCAGAAGAAAACCGTAATCGTAGTTGGAAAAAAGTAGGAACTGCCAAGTGTTGTTATGCTTGACTCCATCAAGATTTGTTAAATGGATGAATGAATGATGTTACAGGTATGTAATATGAAACTAATTTTTATATCTCTTTTTGGTTCTGGGTTTGAACCCAGGGGCACTCTATCGCTGAACCACATCCTCAACCCTTTTTATTTTTGTTTTTTGAGACAGGGTCTTACCAAATTGCTGAGGCTGTCTTTGAATTTGCAATCCTCCTGCCTCAACCTCCAAATCGCTGGGATTACAGGCATGTGCCACTGTGCTTGGCTGTGTTCCTTTTTAAATGCTACTCACCGCAAAGAACTAGGTGGCAAAAGTTTGGAAAGTGCTCCAAATTTTTAGTGAAATTGCAAAGAACTTTCATACATTTTGAAATAGCTTTGTTAAGCTAGAACTCATATACCATATAGTTCACCTATTTTTTAATATTTATTTTTTAGTTTTAGGTGGATACAATATCTTTATTTTGTCTTTATGTGGTGCTGAGAATCGAACCCAGTGCCTCACGCATGCCAGGCGAGCGCACTACCACTTGAGCACATACCCAGCCCCACCTATTTTTTTTTTAAAGAGAGAATTTTTTTAATATTTATTTATTTTTTTTTAGTTTTAGGTGGACACAATATCTTTACTTTGTTTTTATGTGGTGCTGAGAATCAAACCCAGTGCCTCACGCATGCTAGGTAAGCGCACTACCACTTGAGCCACATCCCCAGCTTCTAGTTCACCTATTTTAAGTGTAAAGTTCAATGGAGTTTCACGTTAGCACTATCATGTAAGGAAGGATTCCACTTTATACTTTGAAGTATAAACCTTGCTGCTCCAGTGCAGACAGCTTATTTTGAAGCTATGTTGGTTTTGTTTGTTTGTTTGTTTCCTGTTGCTGGGGATTGAACCCAGGGCCTTGTGCAGGCAGGCAAGCACTCTACCAACTGAGCTATATCCCCAGGCAGCGAATACCTTATTTTAAAATAGACATCTCCCCTTTCTCCCCAGCTTTCCCTCCTTAACAGCACAGGAAACAAGAGTAAAATTTTTCCTCTCCCAGGCTGAACAACTGTGCCCTTCACAGCCTGGAAGAGTGTCACTGTCCACAAGAAAAAAGAAACTCCAAACCCAAGAACTGGAGCAATGACTCTTTCAAGGACACTTGATGGACACTAATTAATTATATTTACTGATAAAATTTGGATCCCAGCCCTTGTATTACTTTTTAAAAATTCCTGTGTTCCCCTTTGCAGGGCGAATCACAGCCTCTTTTTTGCTGACAAATCAATTAAAGTTTTTCCGGGGGCTGGGGTTGTGGCCCAGCAGCAGCTCTGGCATGTGTGAGGCACTGGGTTCGATTTTCAGCACCACATATAAATAAATAAATAAAGGTCTATCATCAACTAAAAAAAAAGGTTTTTCCTTTTTTTTTTTTTCAAAATCTTGTCCTCATTATTGTAATGGCAACAGACCCAAGGACCAAGGTTTCAGTATCAATTGCAACCAATTTAGCACATATTTATTATCCCTTAAAGAAACTCCCATGAGCTGGGGATGTGGCTCAGTGGTAGAGCATGCACATGCCACAAGAGTGCCCCGGTGTTTAATACCCAGAACCAAAAATAAATATAAAAATTAAATTAAAAAATAGTTTCATATTACATGCCTGTAACATCCATTCACTTATTAATTTAACAAATGTTCATGGAGTCAACCATGGTTCAATCCCCAGTCCCACAAAAAAAAGAGAAACTCTATATCCATTAATATTCATTCGCCTTTCCCCCACTCCTTCTATAGATTTGTCTATTCTGGATATCTCATTTTAAGTTTTCTCACATTTTTATTTGACATCCATAATTATTTTTGTTTGTAGAAATGTTTTGCATTGATTTTTGGGGATCAACATCCTCCTATTTTACAAGAGAAAATGGACTATTACTGAGAATTTTTTTTTTAAATGTATTTATTTTCCGGGCGCATGCCTGTAATCCCAGCAGTTCCGGAGGCTGAGGCAGGAGGATCGCGAGTTCAAAGCCAGTGCCAACAATTTAGCGAGGCCCTGTTTCTAAATAAAATATATATTAAAAAAAGAGGGTGGGGGCTGGGGATGTGGCTCAGTGGTTAAGCGCCCCTGAGTCCAACCCTCGGTATAAAACAAAACCAAAAATAAAACAACATTCCCCAGCCCCTATGGAGAATTTCTTAGAATCAAACTCGCATGTGGGTTTCGAATTCCGTCAGTATATCATCCGACTGGGATTCTGGGGACGAGGGTTTGACATTCTCTGGCAGTGCAGCTGGGATTCGAGGTCAGGAATTGTGAGGCGCTGAGCATGTTTGTGATCTCCTAGGTGCAGACCCTGGATTCTCCCCCTGCACCCTTGGTCGCTCCTTTGCGCCTGAGGATGGACATAGGACTCTTCTCGGCTTTGGGGAGGCCAATGAATGCGTCATTTTTGGGTTTTGTTTTGTTTGCGGTGCCCAGCGGCGCTTTACCCCGAGTTATATTCCCAGCCATTAATTAATTAATTAATTAATTTTTAAAAAATTATAGATGGGCACAATACCTTTATTTTATCTATTTATGTGGTGCTGAGGATTGAACCCAGTGCCTCACATTTGACGAGACAAGCGCTCTACCACTGAGCCACCACGCCAGCCCCCTTTAATTTATTTTGAGCCAGGTGTCACTTGCGGTCCTCCTGCCTCAGTCTTCCGAGTCGCTGCGATTACGGGGTGTGCCACCGTCTTCTACTTGGGCCTCACAACATCACTAACCCAAGGGCTTCCCGCTTCTCCCAAGCCAGAGCCATTCAAAAGTCCCCGCCCTCTAAGGCCCAATCACCGACGCACCTTGTTTAGAAATTTGACTAGAACTGACCTATCAGCGAGCGCGAAGATAGAGCCCGCACGAAGCTCCTACGCAAGTCACGGTAGGAAGTGAGATCGTACTTATTTAGTACTGAAGGGCGACCAAAGGGTACAGCCTTCACGGTACCTTATTTGGTAAGGTTAGCTTGACTAAGCGAGGAAAGGACACCATGAGGCTTTTGGAAACAAACGGGGAAGCTGGCAGCGCCATGTTTTCTAAGGGACTTACTCAGCAATCGGATCCAAAATGACAGGTGCTGCAGTGGTTCATAAATATGAATGCCTTCCTGGGACCACGACTGGGCTAGAAGGAGCCTCTGGGCACCTGAACGCCGGCCACTTCAAATCCACATAGGTATTAAAAGAGCCGGGCGCAGTGGCTCACGCCTTGTAATCCCAGTGGTTCCGGAGGCTAAGGCAGTATGATCGCGAGTTCAAAGCCAACCTCAGCGAGACCCTGTCTCTAAATAAAATATTAAAAAGATCTGGGATATGGCTCAGTGGTTAAGCACCCCCCCCCCCGGGTTCGATCCCTAATACAAAAATTTAAAAGAAAATTGAACATTTAAATTTGAATTTCCTGAAAGGGAAGCCTGGGATCACTCCCCGACTCCCTTCTTCTGTCGCCCTAAAACTGTGTGGATCACCAAGGTTGCATATTCAGTACCTTGCAGTAGTTAAACGCTACAGGGTTGATGCCCGACAAACGTGGATTCTGATCCTGATTGCATCCTTCATATGTAGTGTGGACTTGGAAATGACCTAATTTCTTTGAGCTTCAATTTTCTTAATGACACTTGGTTGAGGATCTGCAGGTGCTGTATCCATCCCCCACCTGGGACTTACCTCTGGGACTCCTATACCAGCTCTAACTCAGCTTTCTTCTCCAGGATTCAAAGAGCCCCAAACCACCTTCTCTCTTAGATAGACAAAAAGTTGAGTTCTATATTTACCTGAATCTGGACTAAGGCAAGGCAGGTTCCAGAAGAGCCTGTTGAAATGAGAGGACTCTTGCACACATAAAGTTAGACTTATTGGAACGCCCCAAGGGCTCACTGCTCACAAATATCTCCTTTTAAAGGAACTGTTCAATATCAGTAACTTTTCTAGGCAATTTCACTCTCTTAGATTCCAGGTGGCAATGGGTTGCTTCCACTTTTGGGGAATATGGGGGGGGAGCAGTTTTCTTAAAGTAACCATTAACTTTTTTCTCCACACACCCCTTGTTCACTGAATGTCATGGAGACAGAGGGCTACAGTGCTGGGAACCAAATTCAGCTCTATCTGCCTCAGAGAATCACTTTCTTGAAATAAGTACCTACCATAAGCCCCATACTTTAAATTTAAGATGACATGTCTGTGAGAAAAGTAGTATGAACTCAATTTCACTGATGAAAAAAAACTTACATTGGCAAGTTGTAGTAACTTGCTTACATCACATAGCTACCACAAGATGGAGCCAGGATTTAAGGGATATTCCCCTGACTCTGTAACCTGAGCTCTTTCCCCTGAACTAGGAGCCTATCATATATCCTGTGCCTTATGGTCTTTAAAGGGGGTGAATGGGATGAGGGTGCACTGAAGACCACCAGAAGTAGAAACATAACCTATTTTTTGGAGACGGGGTGGAGAACCACAAGGGAAAGGGAAAGTAAACATTTTTTTTCTTTCAATATATTTGAGCAACTGCTGTGCCAAAAGAATAGCCATATAACACAATGGTTAGAACACATGGGTTTCAGAGTTGGATGCATTGGTTCAATTGAGCACTCCTTGACTTATCAGTGTGACTTTGGAATTTTCTTGCTGGACTAAGTGTGAGCCTCCCCAATTGCGAAACAAGATTATCAGTTTCATGGGATTGTTTTAAGAATCAAATGAGATTTTTGAAATGCTTCTGCCCAGTACCTGGCACATTATGTTGTTGTTTGTATTACTACTGCTACAGTATGAGGTGCTTAGGAGCAATATAGAATACGGTTCTGATTTTACCCACTCTGCCCTCAAGAGTAGTGGAGAGGACACTTCTGTAAGTCACTAAAGTCTCACAGGCATCTAGGCCTGATCTGAGTCGCTCAAGGGCGTGATGTCTTACAAGGGAAACCCCTAGTGATAAGGTCAGTGGGCAGAGCATTGAATGTGCAGCCAGATAGGTCTGGGATAGGCTGTTGCACACCTGGCACGCTGTAAAAGTTCCATAAATATGCTCAGCACTCTAGAATTAACTTCTCTCAGGACAGGAGCCCAGTTTATTTTACAGCCAGGACACACTCTTGAAAGCCTTGTGGACCAAGGGAACAAAAGCAGCCAAGGGAGAATCACGCTGAACTACATGGCCTCAATACATGATTACCTCCTCTGAACCTCCTCCATCTTGCGCATAAACAGCTGTCAGTCGTTACCTAGCAACAGCGTCCTAGAGTCTGGTCCAAGACACCAATCAGCGCTTTATTTCGATGAGGCGAGTTGTCCAATCACCGCGCACTTTCGGAAGCCAAGTCTTCTAGTCTGTCTCCGCCATAGCCAATGAGGGGGTAGGAATTTTAAGAACCTGGGCTGAACCTGCTTAACTGTTTCTTATCTGATAAGATCAAATGGAGGAAATGAGTGGAAAGCCTCAGAATGCTTGTGAATGATGGTCTTAAAGGGTCGCCGCCATATTCTCTTAGGGTATTGTTTGTTCCGTTGTTCATTTTGGTACCAAAGTGTCCCACGCCGTGGTGATTCCTCCATTCTGGCCGCAACTCGGCCCCGTGTGAGGCTAGTTCAAGGCCGGCTGAGATGTAGGGTCCAGCAGAGTGGCTCCCTCTCATCTGGAAAATACAGTGGTGTGATCATGGGGCTGAAGCATTCAGCTGGGGATGGGGATCAGGGAGGGTTCAAGGCGCTGCCCCCAGCCAGGTTCCCCATCCTGAGCCCAAAAAAACTGAATCTGTGCATAGGAGGCTGAGGGTTGTGAGCTTCTTCGTGGCGATCGTGTATTTCTTCTTGCCGGAGTGGTGAAGTCTGGGGCAGGGATAGAAAACCCTGTATTGGACGGTGATACGAGAGATCAGCCGCCACTTGGGGGCGCTCAGTGAGGCCGTTTAGGACCTTCACTCCGCCCATTTCTGCTCACTCATTTATGCAAAATGTTACTTAACCAGTTCTTGAGCGAGAGCTGCAGATGCAAAGAATACACAGAGGGCTCAAAACTGCTTGGAGGGGACAGGGAACGGACGAAAGAGAATATTGAGTTGGGCTGAGGTTAGGGGGCGACTGTTCCAAATGCCTCCTGGCAACCTTAGTGTGTGTGTGTGTGTTGTATAATTTACCATGACCATATTTCTATGTCTGACTATTTCTCCTCAGCAAGGGTTTTTTGTTTTGGTGACAGCTTTCTTGGGTATTAGTCACATACCATTACAACTAACTCATTTTCAATGCACAATTAAATGGGTTTTAGTGTATTCCCAGAGTTGTATACCCATCACCACAATAAATTTTAACACATTTTCATTAATCTCCCAAAGAAATCCCACACCTCTTGGCCATAACTTCCTCCATTCACCCCTTCTCCAGGCCTTAGCAAAAATTAATCTACTTTCTATCTCTATACATTTGCTCATTTGGGGTCCATATAAATGAAATCATAAGGCTTGGATTTGGGCAGTGGGTGGGGGGGGGGCTTGATACTGGATTAACACAGATGCTTTACCATTGAGTCACATTCCCAATTCTCCCCTCTATTTTTGTTTTTAAGTCATTCATATTTTATTTCCATCCCCTGGGGTAAGGCCAAACCCACCTGCTCTGAATACCGTTTTTTATTTTTTTTCCCTATATTTTTAGTTGTGGATGGACACAATACCTTTATTTTATTTGTTTTTTTATGTGACTCTGAGAATCAAACCCAGTGCTTCACATGTGATAGGCAAGCACTCTACCTTTGAGCTACAACCCCAGCCCTGAAAAACTTTTCTCCTCATTAAAATTCTTCCTCCCAGGACCTGCCAGGTATGGTCTTACGTTGCCATGGCAACTAGCCTGGCCTTTGTCCCAATCTACTTGATGAAACATTATCTTCAGGATTCTCCAGATTCAGTCACTAATTTTTGTTTCCCCCCAAAAGGTAGTTTCAAAGGGCTATGTTTTTCCAGATGGGCCCAACCTCCTTTCAGTCTAGGAAGAAGGGGCCTATTCTAATTCACTTAGGTTATGCCAGAGGTGGCCCTCAGGAGTATAGAGACTTATAATTCTCTACTACTGCTATGCTTGAAACTCAGTTGACATTCATACATGCAAATTCATCTTCTTTCTGGCTTGGTCCAAATTTCTCACAAATCCATAGAAGTCTCTTGAAGACACTTAGTACACAATTTCTAGACAACCATGCCCTGGAATGATCCACGCACTCCCACCATCCTGGTCTCCCACCTCCAGCAAACCCATTATGATGTGAAGACATTTCTGTGACACACTGGATAATCTTGGATTGCAACACCAGAAAAATATGGAAACAAGGCTCTCAGACTTTGTCAGGTAAACGGAAACTACCTGGTTATACTCCCTCATCATGAAGCCCCTGCAACAGAATGGGGGAAAATATTCTCAGCTTCTTCCAAATAAGACACTTGTAGCTGTAAATAACAAGTTCAATTTCTGCCCCAGTAGGCTTTATATGCTTCTGTGTGGAACATAAAATAAGCTTTGAGGTGTTGGAGTCATTATTCTGCTAATCTGGCTTCTTTTATAATTGCTAAAGGAGATTTCTATTTCAATAACTACAAGTTCCATGGATATTAAAATACTTTTAAGCTTTATTTATGTGAGTTTCCCTAAAACACACAAAATTACCAGTGTTAATTTGAGATAGGTGGGCTCCCATAGAGAGAGCAAAAAACAATCTTAGTAGATGGAGACTCAGATCTATGAGCATGACCACTTGTGCTTATCTCTTTAATTAGATGAATAAGATCTCCAGCTAATGCTTGTAGATCAACTAATTTATTTAATCTCATCAGATTCAAAGACCTGCACAATGTGCCCAGAACTGATTTATGGTATTCTCCTTAATTAGGAAGAAACAAATGATTGACATACCATCTGATTTTTACAATAGCTTGCCTGGGAGTCTGCAATTTTCTGCGCAAGCAAAATACATATATTGTCATAGAGCTCAGTCCTGGCTGCATCATTTGTCTTCTCTGAGAGATAAAGATACTTCTCTGAGACACTGTAATTGTGGCATGCATGCTTTGCTTTACTGTCCTATAATAAATCTTTGTGCTTTGCTCAGACATATCCTGAAAGTCTTTTCAGTGGTGTAAGTCAAGAACTCACCTGGGCCAGAAGGTTCCACTGCCCCCTTGATAAGACATCCTTGGACCCTATCTGGTGACAATTTCATCTCTGGTTCTGAGCCCTGCATCAAGAATTTCCTTTCCATCAATACACTCAGGGAAGCTAGTCTGATTGATAGATAAACAGACATGTGTGGAACATCTTTAACAATGAGAATTAGTAAATATCCAGAGGTCTCAGTTTAATTTACCATATGGAATGTGAAAAAAAAAAAAAAACACATGCACAGGTATATGGAGATATTCATAACAGACCACCCAGCCTGTGTAGAACCATTTATTACTAACACTAAAAAACAAATTTGAAAACCCAACACACAATATCATGTTCACACAGGGGTCATGAAGTGCCCTGTGTGTATCCCCAGTCTAGAGTCAGGCTACAGGAATGTAAATTTCACTTCTTTCCCCAGGGGTGAGTTCACATATACCTACTCCACTTTTCCCCCAAAGACTTGTAAGAATGGGCCTCAGGCTGCCATGACCACTATGATTGTCCCAGTTTCCCCTCTCTACTTGGTGATGAATTGTCCCCAAGTTTGCATTGCTGCTCTACTAAGGCAAGGTACTTAAGCTGGTACCTTCTTTGCTGTGTCCAATGAATCTTCTCTTATTCTAGTCAGTGGAGGCTTATTCCAATTCACCCATGTCCTGTCAGAAGTAGCCCTTAGGAACATGAAGATTTCCACTTCTGGGTCCCTATACCTTCTACTCAGGGGTAGAAACCCAGCATATTTTTGACCCGGTCCCAGATTATCTCCCAGGAACTCAGAGAGAAACCTGTCAGCAACTCAGGTGTCCTTCAACATTCTAAATTCATCTTCTTTGCTACCTGGTCACAGCTTCTCTCCCAGGTTTTCACAGATATCCTTTGGAGGCCTAGGTTTTACCAAACCTGACCTTCGGGTGTGTGGAGCCTTTTAGCTCTGGACCATTCTTTTGATAAATTGTGTGTTCTTCACAGCTCCAAATCCATCTCCTCACTGGCCTGGCCCTAGCTTCTCTACCAGACATTTACATAGATCATTCAAGTCCTAGCACTCAGGTGCTATGAGGTGGTCTCTCTGTGTGACCAACTTAGGGATAGGGCTTTGGGTATTTTCATTTCAGTTCCCTTCTCTGGGACGAGTTGAAGATGACCCAGATTTTCTGTCATCTTCAAACACAGAACTGCAAGAGTGAATTTATCTGTTGCTTTCAGGCTATGCAGCAAGAAATTTTCTTTCCCCCAACACATTTGGGGACACTAGTCTCCTGTGGGGTGAGACGATGCTCAATTGTGCTGAAAAACAGTACTCCACAATAATAAAAATTATTTCTCCAAGGAACTCCCAGCAATGTCCTCAGGCTTTCATGTTCACCAGATATGCCTGGTGTCCCAATTCCACTAAATAATACATTGTCTTAGGATCCCCAGCTTCAAAGTTGATACTCCATTAGGGAAAGGTATTTTAGTGGCCCATGCCTTTCCAGTCTTTTCCAACCAGTCTCCTCCTAGACTGAGCAGAGGTGGCTCATTCCCATTCACCTAGATTCTGTCAGCAGTGACTTTCAGGAGTGTGGAGTCTTCAAGATCTGGGATCATCTGCCTGCAAGTCAGGTATCCTTTGCATTTCCAAAGTCATCTTTTCTTGGTGTGACCTGAGTGTGACCTCACCAAGGTCAAAGGAGAAGCAGATGACCAAGGGTGTCTCGACTTAGTACTGAGTTCAGTTTCCTTTTTCTCAAATAGACCACTGATGGAGAAACCTCTCCAAACATTGGCTCTCAAGTTCGCCAGGCACCTTGCATCCTCTGCATGGAAGTGGGGTTGCTTAGAGCCAGGGCTGCCCAAGAAAACTAGAGCAAGGGCTGCTCTTGAGTCCCTTTGTGGGTCACCAGTTTTGATATCAAAAGTTCAGTCCTTGTCCCTGATGCCAATTTAATAAAGAGGACATGGTTTTGAGAAAAAGGAAAAAGAAATTTTATTGCTTTGCCAATAAAGGAGAAACACAGGGGACTCCTGTCCCAGAGGCTGCGATTCTCCCCCAGCCCTTTTTATTTTAAGTGAGTGTCTCATTAAGTTGCTTAGGGTCTTGCTAACTTGCTGAGGTGGTTTCAAACTTGTGATCCTCCTGCCTCAGTCTCCTGAGTTGTTGGGGTTATAGGTGTGTGCTGCTGCTCCAGACAAACATGTGTCTGGCATCTTCCCTTGGCATAATAGTTTAAAGATTCATCCATGTTGTAGCACACATCATCATATCATTTTTATTATTATTTTACTGAACCCAAGACCACACATATCCTAAGCACATGCTTTACCCCTGAGCTGGATCCCAGGCCCCCTACATTTTAAAAAATATACTCAATTTTTTACAGCAGTTTCAGGTTAACAGCAAAACTAAGTGGAAAGTAGAATTCCAATATCTCTCTGCCCTACCCCCTCAACACACACTTCTCCCACTATCAATATCCCCCACCAGATTGATACA